CTCCTCCAGGGTTTCCTCTGCCGTGTTGGTGTCCCCTGAGTGCCCTGGGCCCCACAGATCTGCCGGCTGGGTACACTCTTCACTAGTTTCCTTCCCAACTTATCAGCATTAATGTTTCGGTAAAGTGATAACTTATGCAAATTTTACAATGCTGGAACTATCTCTCAAAACTTTTGGTCTCACAGAGCAATTACTACTTACTAGTTAACCATTTTAACTCTTTTCTCATAGAATAACTTCGTTACTTTTTATTTAATTTTTAATTATTTTTACCTCTGTCTCCCTGCTCCCAGTATCCACTCTTCCGGTTTCAGACTAAGGACCAGCTGAAGAAAAGACTCAGTTTCGTTGTTTTTATATTTTTCTCTTTAGTAGATGAGTTTTCTAAGCAAATATGCACCAGTATCTAAAGCAGTTGGGAATGTATTTAAAAAAAAAAAAAAAGACTGCAAAAAGAGAAAGGAACTTTGCACGTGGATCCAATCATGAGATGACAAGGTCACGCCGTGGTTGCCAAATCAGCCTTAGATTGCGGAGAGCCTATTTGTGTATCTTGCATCTTTTATAGACAGAGACAATAGCATGGTACCTCGGTTTGGGGTTATTGGCGCCGCCCAGTGGAGAGAGGCGCCTTTGCACCTCATTCCTGTCAATTGGCCCTGTCATAGAGACTCTTCCGGTAGAGAACAGTATTTTCAAGTCCATCATAATTTGGTGGTGAATTTCATCAAAATTAAAATACATTTTAAAAATCTGATGCTCCAATTTAATTGAATATCAAAGTTAGACAGTGAAAGTGGGTGGTGGGATATGTACCACACAGTGTTTTGTGTTTGGATTATTCTTTGAGGTGGGGAAAAAGAAATTCATTGTTGATTGGCATTGGTGTGTCCTGGACAACTTGGAAGGAGATAGATTCTCTGGTGTGCACAGCTAGCAAGTCAACTGCTTTCTGAGCAACAAATTTAAAAATCTCTCCAAATTCAAGAATTTTCTTAATATATAAAAAAGACAATGAAGATTTTGAAGTGGAAGGTCGTTTTAAAATGTTAGTTTAGGAATGCTTTTCTTACATTTTAAACCCAGCGAGGGAATTCGAGGTTAAAACTCAGCGAATGTATACATACTTTCTTGACAATGACCTGAAGCTGCCCCATCTGTAACTGAATTTAGATTTCTTTAATTTTATTTTTGTTTACTTACATATTTTGAGACAGGTCTCTCTACAGAGCCCTATTCAGAAACTCACTATGTAGACCAGGTTGGTCTAGAACTCAGAGATCTGTCTGCCTCTGTCTCCAGAGTGCAGGGATTAAAGGCATGCACCACCACACCCCGCTGATTTTTTTTCTTAAAGATAAAAAGTGAGATATTTTTGCCAGAAAAAAATGCATTTTGGGTGTACTTTATATCTACTCTCTCAAGAAAATAACAGCATACAAGAAACTATCTGGAGAGGGGGACCACTGAGGACAGTTAAATCAGGTCCTTGCTCTGAGGGATTGCTTCCCTAAGCTTGTGGCCTGGCTTCGATTTTTGAGGGCATTTCTGGGACCTAAAATCAGGGGCTTATATTTTCTTCACCATGATTTTTTTCCGAGGACTTAGCTTATAAACTATATAGTCCAAGAAAACCTGATATTGACATTTTCTTTTAAGATATGATTGGAAACATTCACAAGATTTGGATTCACAAGATTGGATTTGCTTTGGAGGTTCGTGGAACACGCCCTCCCATGCTCCTCCCCTCCCCAGGTCTTCCTCCATTCCTCTCTCTCTCTCTCTCTCTCTCTCTCTCTCTCTCTCTCTCTCTCTCTCTCCC